GAGCACTCAATGGTAGAGTACTTGCCTAGCATGTGCAAGGCCCTGGGTTGAATCCCCAGAAACAGACACACACACACACACACACACACACACACACACTCACACACAATAGGTATAAAAAATATATTATGAAAAAACACAGTGAGATTTTAGGGACTTAAGACAAAACACCAGGAGCACATAAACACAATGAAAAGGCCATCTGAAGACACAGTGAGATGACCAGATGGAGCTATCTGCAAGCCAGCAAAAGAGGTCTTACCAGAAACCAACCCTTCCAACTAAGGTTGGTCACAAACTTTCAGGCTTTAGATCTGTGAGAAAATCAATTTCTGTTGCCTAAGCCACCCCACCTGTGCTGTTCTGTCATGGCAGGCTAGCAGACTAATATAACCATGTAATCCTGGAGAAGAGAACATGGAGAGGTCATGCAATAGTTCAAGTCCATGGAGAACCGTGTTCAGACTGGGTAGAAATAAAACTTAGTATGATTTGAATCATACACAAAGATTTTGTCTGCCTAAAAGAAAAATAGACCCCCATTTTTTTGTTGGCAATACTTGTATTAAAACATAATTTGGGACACTTCTTTGCATTTTAAATACTGTTAATGTATTGTAGTGTGATTGCATATGTTAACTTGAACCAAGATAGCAAAAAGTTGGAGAGAGACTATCCTGTAGGAGATGGAAAGTGAAAATAGCTACTCACTAGTTAGAGGACTTGTCAAGGTTTGGGTTGGTTAATCATGCTGAGAGTCATCCTTGGGGTAGAGGTGTGCTCAGAGGCAAAGAACTTGCCTAGCATGCATGAGACCTTGGCTTCCATCCCATCACCAGAAAACAAACAAACAAACTAAAAAGAATGTCATCTATATCCTATCCAAAGGACTGGTTTGGACATGCACTGCATCCCTTTGGGCATGAGAGAGTGCCATTAATGGAACCAGCTGAAGAGTTGACATTTGTCTGGTATTATGCAATAAAAGACTAAAGAGTTAATTTGGCTGGATTTAGGTACTAAAATTCTGCACATTAAAATGAAAGCAGTATCCTTTGACTGGCTTCTGTGAGATGACCTGGTCCCATTGGAGTATCTTGCCTGACCGAAGTGTCATTGCATCCCTGAGATCTTAGGCCATCCTGATAGTCTATACTAACAATGTGAATTGTGGTGAGTATCTCATTTTGTTCACCTGGGAAACTGTATGAGTTTGACCCCTGGAGGATCTGGGGACCAGCTAGGATCAGTCATGTAAGCACTCGTTGTCTACATAGTGGACTCCTGGTAACAACTCTGGACACCAGAGCTAAGGTGAACTTCCCTGGTCAGTCGTACTTCATAAATACTGGTCCACTTCACTGCTAGGAAGATTATGTGGTGTCTGTGTGACTTCACTGGGTGAGGGAAACTGACTCCCCTTTACTGGTTTTTATCAGTATCCTTTCCCTATAATAACCTGAAGCCCTAACGACTTGTCTGTGTTCTGTGAATCCTTCTAGTGAATCATCAAACATGAGTGTGGTCTTGGCAGCTCCAACACATCTGTAATTTGGAAACATGAGGGACAAATATCTAAAGGCAGAGTCAGGCTGACTGGCAGCTCTCATGGAAGGAACCAAGAGGAGGCAGTTCCATTTAATGTGGTGAGCTCTCTGAGTTTACAGACACAAAGGTGGAATAGAAGATCTGATTAGGAGTCTCTCTCAGTTACCCAAGAGAACATTTGGGGGGATGAATGGCCTCCGACAGAACTTCCCATCAACTTAACAAAATGGGGACTGAGTAGAAGATGTCCAGCCTGAGGAAAATGCCTCCCTGGTGTTGCCTTGGGTGTTCCCTGATCACTGAAGAACCATGACTATGTCAGCTCTGCATGCCTGGCAGGTGTAGAGGGCATAACATGAAATGAGAAAAGTGTAGGTTAAGAACTCTCCAGCTCTAATTACTGCTCCACCCTTCCTCCCACCCCAACCCTTCAGGAGTGATAAACAGGAACTAGAAAATAAGGGAAGAATTAGTAGCATGAGCAAAGAACCAGCCCACTTGTGTGTGTGTAAGTAGCATGACCACAGTAATACAAAGAAGAAAGAAGTCTCACCTGTGATGCCTTGGTTTTAACCTAGATCTACACACTTAAAATCACTAAAGTGGTATGATGTTAGTGTCTTACAATCATATAACAGTGTCCAGGAAAATCACAGAGCTTGCTTAATGCAAGCTTCAATGGTGGTGAAAGAACTCATTCTTGTACTAGGTGCAAGTCAGGTTTGTTCAACATTTGAGTTACAATAATGATAATCTCACACATCTTTAACCTTTTTCCACATGAAATCTCAACAAGTAAGTCTCCACAGATAAACAAATAATACTCAACAAAGAAATAAAAATCCTAAAATTAAGAAAAATAAACTTAGAGAAAGATGGAGCACTGTCGAAATTAAAGGAGTAGAAATTTTCAGCAATTTCTGGAAGATAAAAAGAGATGCAATAGAATTGATAGACAAATAAGTAGCTAAAACATCACAAAAGAGAAACGATCTACTGAAAGGAGAATGGATATATTTTTCCTACAAAGTCATAGAATATTTCAAAGGTCAGATACCTGGGCAAAGTAGGAGTGGACTTAGAGAAAGCCGGTAAAGTACTTGGACTTTGGGATCTGTTTGTAGACATGTAGCATGAGATTGAGGCATCTGCTCATGAGCCAGAGGTTGTAAATGAGATTTTCTGTTGGAGTTTTTCTGAGGGGGGCAATTATGGTGGGCATAACAGCTTGAGAAATGTTGTCAGGTTAAGTAGGGCTTCCTTCATCCATCCACACACACAAAAAAGAACAAAACAGGAAAAACATAAGGAAAGAAAGATAGAAGCTTTGATATATATATATATATATAATGGGAGGCTACATGGAGAGAATGTAGAGGAGAGAGAAGTAATAATCAAGGGTACAGTATAGGAAAATGCCATTGAGTTTAAGAGATTTGCAGCTCACCTTCCTCACCTCAAGCTCTGCACCAAAGGAAAATATATGAACTTTCTAGTCAGTTATAGAAGGCTGACATAACGTTGGTTGTTATAGAACAGACTGTGATAGCCCACTAAAAGAATAGAGCTAGTCCCATTTTTTTTAAAGGGATGCAATAATTTTGAATAGAGAAAATAGTGTAAACTGAAATAACAAAAATAATGTTTCAAAGAATGCAAGAATGCTTCAACATAAGGGAAATTTTGCAATTTTAAGTGAAAAGTTCATGTTCATCAACAAGTAGATATTATTGGTGACAAGCTATTTTGATTTTAAAATACATCTACATTAAAAGCAGTTATTAAATGAAGAATAAAAATGTTTTTCTCAACCTTTGTAAAGATTCTCAGAAACTAGAAGCTGGGTACAAACCAAACATAAATAGATAAGTAGTAATATGTTTATAATGACAGTAATAATCCTACATAGGTTCCCTTTTCAGATATTGATGTGTTTTTCAAATTAATTCTTATACTGAAAAAAATTAAAATTCTGAAAACAAACCACTTTGAACAGATGTAACAAACTTAGAAGATTTTCTTTCCCCTAAGAGTCTTTCCTTTTCTTTTGGATGGCCTTAATGAATGAGAAGACAAATCTAAAATTATAGCTCATATAAGATGATAGTAAGAGATATGATACATTAAGATCTCAAGGAAGTAGATATCAGGGATATGTTCATGTGATCTACAAGCAAAATAGTCCACATAAAGAATTACCAGCCCATGCTATAGTTTTCTGGGATCTCCAAGGAGTTTCAAACCTTAAGCTTGGTTTAAGGTGGTCCAAGATTAATAGTAACACTTAGTTTCTGGCAGAAACAGGGAAACTTTCTCTCTGGAGAAAAGTAAACGTACCTTCAACAAGACCTCAAATTAGTTTCTGACATTCTTTTCAATGCAATGAAAGATAACTAGGCATACAAAGAAGCAGAACACAATGAATAAAAGTCTGCAGGAAAACAGACAACAGTGACAGATGTAAAATAGTATCCCACCTCACACAAATAAAAGCCAAAGTTGTTTCAGTGACCTGCACAAGCCTTTATGACTCACTATGCCTATACACACTCCTTACCTCTCTGTTCTTTGTCGACTCACCTCCAGCCACACTGACTTCCTTGCTGTCCCTCTGATATACTATGTACACCTTTATCTCAGAGACTGTCCAGTTATCTTCCTACAGTTTTTCCCTTCATCTCCTCTAGATTTTTGCCCAAATGTCTGTCATAACAAGGCTTTGCACAACTCTATCTTCCTCCAAACTCAAAGTTCCTCATTTTCCAGCTTTATTTTATTTTTATAGCAATAGATACAATCCACACACAATATATATTCTCTCCTTTGTTTTATTTTATTGTCTGTCCTTCCCCATCAGAACAAAAGCCCTCTAAAGACAGGGAACATTGCCTGTGCTTGTTTGCTCCTGTTTCCACAGGGCCCAGAATAGTACTTGATGTTCAGATGCTCAATCCATATTTATAGAATGAATAAATGAATGCTTACATGTAAAGTGCTTAGAACAGGGCCTGGCTCAAAATAATGATCTAATACACATTAGCTGTTGTTACCACTATAAAAAAATAAAGAAAAGAATGTTGAATTGCAGACATGGATTCTAATTCTGGGTTACTTTTCACCAAAATAGCCTTTGGCAGTGAACTATCACTGATGTGTTTTATGAAAATTATTTTATTTATGGAAAAGAATTGTAACCACTTCCCTTTTACACAAAAGCACAAAGAAGGCATTTGGTTTTCTACTCTTCCCCTTTGTATAAGAAAAAAGGCAAAGTCCTGGAGTTCAATTTCTAGGGCAGTAGACAAAGATATTGGAAGGTTTCTAAAAATGGTGCAAGTGAGACCAATGACAGAGATCAGGATAACCAGATCTATCCTCAAACATGTGATCCATCCCACCATTCACCATCAATAGGTCTTCCCCAAACAAGTTCCAATACACATGACACTCACAGCATTTCCATTTTCAATCCAACTGATGGTGGGGACAGGGATGCCTGTTGCTATACAGCGCAGGGTCACGAAGGAGCCAAAAGTGACATTGTGGGATTCAGGAGCACGCAGGATCCTGGCAAAAACTGTTAGGAAGACAGAAGTGGTGAGTGACTCTCCTTATTGGATGGCCAAACTAGAACAGTCTTAAAAAATGCAAATTAGACATGCTTCCCAGTGCCCTGTGGGCAATCCTTCTGTGTTTCCTTCTGTCTTAAGGACAATTCCCAATGCCTCCAAGCATTCATCCCCATGTCTTCACATGAAAGGTTCCTCTTATGTATAACACTCAACTCTGTTTAGGTGACATTTTCTCAGAAAGACCTTCCCTAATCACCCATCAAACACTATCCTTTTCCCCATTCACTTTTTCATCATCCTATTTTATTTTTGTTACTTATTTCCTGCTTTCTTAACTCATTTTTTACTTATCTATTATTTCTCTCTCTCCTTAGATTGTCTAAAACCTATAACTTTGCCCATTTTACTCACTGCTATCTTCAGTACTTACAAACGCCCCTGAACAAAGTGAGCACAGGACAGTATTTTAGTGAATTAAAGAACTAATTGAATTGCATCATAGTGGGAGGACAAATGAAATCTGTCACATAATAATGATTAAAAGGTGGGCAGGAAAAATTGTAATTTATATTTCTTTCTGGGGTTGAATCCCCTGACTAAATAAGAGGAAGTTCTTTTGACATGACAGTTTTCCTTTAACTAAAGCATGAATCGAGGCCCCAAATGTACAGTAAGTTGTAAAGTACTTAGAATCACAGTTACTAAATTTGGAAGTGACTTCAGAAATGGGCTAGAGTTCTCCTCTTATTTTGTAGCTGTCAAAAGCAAATTACCCATTAATTTAATTTACTTCCCCAAAGTAATAAAAGTGCTGGGTAAGAAACCTGGCCTCATGCTTTGTAACTTCAAATCCCATGGAATTTCTTTGATTGCTTATTATTTTGTAGTATGGTATTTTTTGCTTTTGCCTATTTTCTAGGATTTAAGCACAGAACAAGACATTAGAGTACGAAGCCTCAATTAACACAAATTAATTAACAAAGCAATTAAGAAATTAATTAATTAGCTTTAACAAAGCAATTAAGTACTTTAAAACTCAGTTTCTCTAGCCAATTGCAACTCGTGGAGGCTGGATTCCAGAGGCATGTGGGAATAGTGTAAACTAGACAAGAGTTATGCAGAACAATCAGAGCAAGTCCAGAATGTGTTAGAAGTTGGTATGATTGTTGAAACCTCTTTAAAAGGATTCCATAATTTAAGGAGGTATAGGAAGATAGGATTTGTTTGACAACTGGATCCTTTTTGCAAATTTAAATTAACTTGACTTCCTATCTTTTGATATTGAGAGCTTTAGGAGATGAAATATAGAACATTGTAGATATGTACATGTTGGACTCAAAAGCCAGTAAAACAGAAAAGTAATAAATGTGTTGTCTTAATGGCAACAAGAGATTTTTTTTTTGAAGTATTGAATGTTTATAATGCAGCTAACTCTGCCCCTCAAATCCAAATTGAGCCTGATGTTAGGTAAGTCCTGGGGTCTAATTACCAATTTATACATAAATAAAAAAAGAGTTATTACCATGAAGATGCATTTCAATCAAACCCAAATTTAAAAGGGCAAGTTATTTAGCTTCCTCAATAAATAAATAACAATGGGGGAAAAGAAGAATGGTCTCTTACAGAACGAAAGGGACTTAAGGGACATGCCAGTCAAATTCAGTGTGTGGCACTCGTCGTTTGTTGTTGTTATGCTATAGAGGATTGCACCCAGGGCCTCATGCATGGTGGGCAAATGCTTTACCACTTGAATCACATGCCAAGCCCTTTTCTTTCTTATTTTGTTTTTAAGAGAATCTTGTTAACTTTTGCCCAGGCTAGTCTCAAATCTTGATCCTGCTGCCTCGGCTGAGATTACAGGGATGTACCACCTCTCCTGGCCTCCCTGTGAATTCTTGTTCTCCCAACTTAGTATAAATTCACAGGTTGTGGTCTTTTGACAACTGAAACAGACTGACTGGCTTTCTAGCATGAGTGTGCCCAGTACTCTTCTTTTTAATGTTTTCTGATAACAATAGGAAGACATAGACTGCACAACGTATTTGAGACCATGTGCCCCATATGGCTGGAACAATTCTCGCAGGGGTTGGTATTACAGTTTTTGAGTAAGAAGCTACTGCAATTACTATCTTCTGGCCACAATGCCTCCAAGAATCTGAAGCAAACAAGATCCCTGGGAGATTTTGAGTTGGATCATTTCAATCTCAGGTTTTAGAAACATGTTCTAATAACATTGACTATACCCTTGAATCTGAACAAGAGCCTCCTGGCTGAAGATGAGCACAATAAAAAAAAATGGAGAAAGTGAAAAAATTGGAGAAAAATGAAATTTAGATTATTTCTTCTGCTTAGATTTATAAAGGCAACGCTTTATTTAATTTGGGACCTTTAAATTCTTCTTGGAAATTTAGTAATTTGGGAAGGTTTATTTTGTTCTAATTTACAGCTTTTCTTTTTCTTTTGGCTGGCATTACTCTATTTGGAATATCATTTGGGCTCATTACAAAACCTCTGATGTAGCAACACAGCTAAACGTAACAAGAGATAGTGAATAATCAAGGTTCACTCCTGGTCCACAGTTCACTGTGATGTGGAGCTGAGTCCATTAATATACAACTCTGCCCCATAGCGGAACCATCTAGAAAAGATGGTACAGAAAAGAGTATCACTGGTGTTGCAGGTAGCTTGATGGATATGTGGTGTGCTGATCAGCACTGTTCTCCTCCCTTAAGGGGGACGATACCATAGCTGACCATGAATTTCCTTGTTAAGTGTAATGGGTTGAGAGAAGAAAAAGACTCAAGGGATTTCATGGTAGCTGGTTTCTCCTCTACACTCAATTCTCTTCCAGAGATCAAATACTTGGGCCTCTTTTGTCAGTATTGGAAAGTATCTTCAACCCTTCCTTTCACTTTCTCTCTGTTCTCAAAAGGGGGTTCCAGGTGTCCTCTGTATTTCCATTCGAATGCCTCATTATCATAATGCTTTCTCATTGTCACCCCCCTATGCTTATGTGTACGTTACTTGTCAATATTTCATAAATGCTGATTCATTTATTTATTTGTTTGGCTTTTTATTATCTATCTCCTTGGAATGTAAGCATCACAAGGTCAGGATTTGCTTTACTCCTGTGTCTAGATATCTCTATCTGTCCTAGTGCCCTGCATGGTACAAGGTAGGTACTCAGTAAATATTTGCTATGCACATGAATGAGGGAATGACTTCACTAGTGAGATTGAGGGAAGGAATTTGTATAGAGGTTGGCATGTCAAACTCTTGGGGCCACCACTGTCCCGGCTATCCTGCACATCTGCAGAGAATGGGGTTGATGTGTCCTAGGAAGTTCACCAGGTCAGAACTTCTCTATCTGACCATGAGGAGTGAAATTGGGAAAGCATGGGGAAAGGGTGAGAAAGATGAGAAAATAGAAGTTATCTTACTATTAGTTTTTAGGTGGAATTGAAAGCTTTATTTTTCAATCCAGCTTTATCAGCAATGAAGCCGAAGTATTTCTACCCATCTGTATTTGTTTCCAGGCCTAAATATGAAAGGTGAATGGATAGTGAAGGACATTCCAACACATTTAACATTTGAGAGCAGTAAAGCCAGTCACAATTAAAAGTAAATGCCAGACTAATCACCATGGATAATAATACACCTGGAATAATAAACAGTTATAATTTAATAGCAAATCCCATTATTTTAGTGGTAGCCCCAAACTGAGAATACATTTCAGATCGCCAGTTTAAAACAATGTAATATGTTTCTTTTCCAGTAAAAAGTGCATCAAATAGCCTCATTTTGTATTTTGTTTGCATGAAAGAAAATATATATTGGATATTTTTATATAAACAAGTAAACTTCTTAATAGAATGGATATAAGATTAACTTTGAAATTTGGAAAAAGTTTATTACTATTTTGATATAAAATTTATATCAAATTCACTTGTGGAATATAACCTTATCTATCATTTTCCACACATTATTGTTCCTCTGCAACATGAAAGATAGACATAGGCAATATGTTTATTCCCGAATTTTCTCTCATGGAATCTATTCATGAGTTTTGGAATTCATTTCTCTCGGGCCGATTTGCAGTGCTTACTGCAGGTTGAGAATCCTGCATTCAAATTGTGCATAGCAGGCAGCAATTCCAGAGTTTCCCTATCTGTATTCCCCCTCTTTCACCTCCGTTTGATAAGATGCATAATTAGTATTATTACTGATTGTATTAAGGGCATAAGGTCACTATTCACTCTGAAATCGCCCTGGTGGTGTAATGAAAAGCTCAAGAAGCAGGGGACTCAAATTAAGTCCTGAAAGGAACAAACAATTTGGTCCAAGATGAACTCCCTCTCTTTCCTTGGTAAGGGAACACATCAGAGGGATACTTATGCCTCTGATCAGTTTCTATTTCTGAGCGATTACTTCCAAGGACACAGTGAGCTCACATGAATTTTATTTTCTCTTACTCTTTTCTTTATCATTATCTAGCTTCCCTGAAAGAAGCTTGTCTTGTTTTTTTCTTAAAGCATTCAAACTAGTAATGACAGACAGCAATAAATTGGTGTTGGTGGGGAGTCTTAAAACACACATACAGAGCCAGGCGGAATGCTTTTAGTTGATGCTAGGTGTAAGCAAATGATATTTAGATAAAAGGAAAACATTTCAAATAAGGTTGGGCACCCTCAATTTGAAAAATCTCAAATACTCTGAAACCTGAAACTTTTTGAGTGTTGACATGACTCAACCAGTTTCAACTCTGGAGCATTTTAGATTTTGGATTTTTGGATTAGAGGTGCTCATGTTGCACAATTTATGCAAATATTCTAAAATCTGAAAAACTCTGAAATCTGAAACACTTCTGCTCCCAAAGCAGGTAAAGGATTCTCAAGTTGCATTTTATTTGAGAGCCTGAGATAAGGAGGGACTGTTTTAAATAATACCGGCCTAAGAGTAATTCCTCTAGTCATACTCTATTACATGAGAACTTACGAATTTCACC